AAATTTTAAAATGTCATCTAGAGGTCGCCATCTTGAAAAAATAGCGTTTTTTACACTTTTTTCAACTTTAAACGTGAATAACTTAAAACATAATTAATTTTATAATACGTTACTGGGTGGATATATCAAAGGTTATTAGATGAACATTTGGTGAAATTTTCAGAAAAATTGGTCAATGTCTAGAGGTCGCTGTATTAAAATGTAAATCTAAAAAACTTTTTATTTTTTTAAATCTTAGAAAAAAAATTAAACTAGGCTATTTTTAGGCTTCAGCTTTTCTAAGAATATAAATAATTAATAAAGAAGATAGTAGTAATATAAAAAATACTATAAAGTATTAATTAGTTTTGATTTCGAATAGGATGGATTTTGCTTTTTGTGTAGTAACAACTTGCAAAATAAATTGTTGTTGTTCTTCATTTTGCGCACACTCGCGGAAATCACCAAAAAGTTTAATTCGACGAAATCACGGCGGTTGTGATACCAGAATCTTCTTCTTGATACCAAATCCTCGAGCGGAGAAATTGCATCAAATAAAAAGGACTAATAAACTTAACCATGCGGTGGATCATAATTTGCTCATTATTGGAGATAATAAATTTATTAGATAAGAGTTCCATTTTTAAAATATATATAGAATGTGACATAAATCTCGCATTCTGAATTGCATCTGGTTTGTGAATTTTGAATATTCTATCCATTGATAGTTTTCCCCCAAGGTAGATAATAGTTAATTCAATTAACTCAAGATAATCTTCTCGCGGAAATATTTTCTCTTTGAGGCATTGGTAAGTCTATTTCAGAACTAAACTTGCTTAAACATTTCTGATTTAATATCAGTAGGCCATTCAAAAAAATTTAAATGTTTGAGTAATCAATATCAATTCTAGAAAATTCGGCTTGGAAACGTTTAAAAATACGTTCATTTGGACTTTTGCTACCTCCTTGTTATGCGGTAAATGCATGTTTGATGTATAGCTCATTATGATGATGGCGACATGCTAGCGATAGGAGAGGTCTCTTTAACTCAATTTCAATTAAAGTTGCTGCTCCTTTTTTATTACCTGTGTTGCTTGCTGTTGTATCAAAGCATATACCAACAATGTTTTCCAAAATGTTCCAATCTTGTGCAAGTTTCACGGCCATTTCACATTGAGTTTTACCTGTCGAACCTTTAGTCAAAGGTACACCAATAAGTTTCGGCCTGAAAATAAAAGTTAAGTTTGTTTAAGAAAATAAAAGTTAAGTAAGTAAAAATATACACAGGATTTATATAAATAAATAAGTACCCGTTAAGAGATCTGCTAATAAGAACTGCTACACGTTCTTCATTATGAGCTATGTCTAAATGAAAAAGCTTCGAATCCCAAAGCAAAATGGCCTTTTTAGGTTTGTTTATCTCCCAGTCAGCTTTAATTGACAGAACAATATTCTCCTGCACAGTTTGTCTTTGACGATGCACAGTTGATACTGACAAATTTCATCAAGCTTGCCTCTGCTTTTGCAGATGATAGTGGATTGAAATAGAAGTTGTTGGTGAACTGATAAACAACCTCGATCTGCCACAGATTCCGTTACTTCTTAGAGCTTCTTTGCTGATGATCTCTAGTGAATTTGTTAAAGGCATCTTTCTTTTCTTTAGTGGTAAAGAAGTGAACTCTGTATCTTTTTGATCTTCTTCATCAGCACTTTTAACTAATTCACTGACTTCAAATTCACTGACTTCAAAGACACTCGATTTTTGATCTTCGGTTGAACTTCTCCGAAAATCTATGCTTAATCTATCTTCTTGACATTCTAAAAATTTTGAAACACCTAGATCGATGCTACCTGTCATGTGATCACTTTCTGCTACTCTTTTGATCTTCATAAAATGCCTAATCCTCTTTCCATTTTGGTCTACGTGATACTAATAACTGTTCATATGCATTTACTGCTGAAATGTCGCAAAGTTGCTCAAGTTCATTACAAAATCTGACAATTTTTTCTTTTCCAGCTTTAACATCTCGACTTGGGTGATCAATTTTTTTTATTTTCACTTTTCCCACAAACAATTTGGTAAGCAATGAATGACAAGAGTTATCTGATCGAATTGGTACTCCAGCTTTTTCCCAAACTTCCTTAAGCTCACCAAGAACAAGTTTAAAAATATCTCTTGCAGAAATGTCGCCTTTTGAATAAAAATGTGAATGAGAGTATCTACCCAAAACATGTTTTTTTGTTGGTAGACGACTGAAACTTGATAACTTATAAGATTCAGGGTAACCAATTAATCAATCTTGATTATTTTTTCTTAGGTTCATCGTTACAATAAAATATTCGCTTATCCAACTAGTTTTAAAATTGTTTTAAAATTTCAATTTTGCTAATTGATATAAGAACCAACTTTTTTTATAAGTGAATGAAATTTATATACATATGTTCAGATGTTTATTTTGCAAACTATTATAATCACGCAAGAACTTTTAGTGGTGCTCAAAACATATACTATGCATTTTATTTAAAGTGAAGATTTTTTAAACCATTTAAGCAATTTTTTAGCAAAAAAATATGTTGAAAAAATTTTATAATTCTTTTTAATTTTATAATTCGACGACCTCTAGACATTAACCAATATTTTTGAAAATTTGGCCAAATGTTTATCCGATAACCTTTATTATACACACCAGGTAACATAAAATTAAATTAATCATTTTTTAAGTAATTTAAATTTAAAGTTGAGAAAAGAGTAAAAAACGCCATTTTTTCAAGACGCCGACCTCTAGATGATATTTTAAAATTTTGAAAAACTTACAGACTTTTTTTTGGCCCATTATTTACCCCGTTATGCATGTAACATAACCATTTTCAAAAAATTGTCGGAAATGAAACACCCTTTTGTGTCACATACCTTAAAAAAAAGGTAAAAAATAAATTCTAGCATTATGGTCTAAAATATTGTAATTCCGGCAGGGACCAGAATAATCTAAAACTCACAAATTCCGGCCGGAATTTCGGTACATCCCTAATATACTTTTAAATTTAATCAAAGTATCAAGTTTGTAATTTACTTTTATATTTTAAGAAACTGCTAATAAAAGAATGGAATAAAAATTGGCTTTCTAGGATATTGTGGTGATGAAACAAGTGAAATATTTTGTGCTGGTGTTAAAATAATTACAGCACTACTTGAATATGATTTACAACAACTAAAAGTATGTAAATTCAATATTTTTTTAACTTTCTATTTTGGTATATTATTCACAATTTGATATCTAAATTATTTTTATATTATATATATTTTGTCTGATTTTACCAAATATTTGTGAAATATACATGCTGTAAAAAACAGTACAAATTGCAACCAATAGCAACCAGGGCTATGGAGTTATACTTAAAAAGTGTGAGTCAGGTTTAAATTCTCACTTCTATTTATCTATAATTAATATACTCTATATACTATGCTATTGCAATAGAGAAATTTTTTATTTTTAAATATTAATTTTAAACATTTTATCTTTTGAAAAAAGCAGTAATAACATTGTATATTAAATTTAACACTTAAAAGAAAAAAAAATATCTTGTATAAAGATTTTTTAACAATAATAATCAACAAAACAGACAATTATCAGCTATAATAAAATAGAACACAGCAAATCAAATAGTTACTAACAACAATGAAATAAAATACGACAAAGTAGATGGTTACTGAAAATAATAAATCAAACAGAATAAATAATAATTAAAAAAAAAAAAATTACAAAAACAAATCAGATAACTGCAAACAAGAAAAAAAAATACAATAACAAGTAGATATTTACAAACAGAATGTAATAATAAGAAATCAAACAATAGCAAATAACAAAATAAAACACGTTAACAAATATTTAAAACTCAAACAAAACTAAATTGCCAAAACGTATCAGACAAACAAACAAAAAAATAATTCAGACAGTTATGAACATTAATAAAATAGTACATACAATATAGTGACAAACAACATAACTAAACATAACACATTCAAATTTAACATTTTCCATTTTAAAAAACAAAACATTTAAAATATTTTCTTTCATTATTCTAATATTAATTTGTATTAATTTGTATAAATATTATACTGGATAAAAATATTTTAAATGTTTTGCTTTTTAAAATCTTTAAGACAGTTAATGATGAATTAATGTCAATACTAATAGACAACTATTGATGTTAGTGATGTACTGCACATTTGTGGCTGATGCCAATCAAATGCTGATGGATGGAAAAAGGCTGATACCGATGCCAATAGTGATGAATTAACTAATTATTAAATTTTAAAAATATAAAACAATCCAACTTTAAATCGTGTAAATTTTTTCATGGAATCAGTACTGGTAAACAAATACTTGGACCCAAATCAGAGGCAAACTATTATTTTCAAAAATATTAGAAAAACTCAATTAAAAATATATTTTTTAGTTTTTTTTTCGAGAAAAAAAAACATTTAAAAAATAAATACAATTTTAGAGGAACGCTTTTTATTTCAATTTTGAAAAGAAAATGGTACAAAGATAAGCAGTTTACTTAGAATTCTTTATTAATTTATTAGTAATTTAGATATCTAAACAACAATCATATAAAAATATAGAAGGCTATACTTGAACACATAGATAACAATGCTTAAATAGGTTACTTTTAAGTATACCAATAGAAAAACAAAAAATAAAATTATTCTAAAAACAACATTATGGTAATAAAAGTAAAAGTACATTCAACTGTTAAATTAAAGCTTATAAACATCATCATAAGAATAAACAAATTTGCCTGTAAACAGAGTCAAAATAAACAGTTTCTCAAAAAATTTCAAGTAATGCATAAAGTTTAGTTTATTTATTATTTAATTATTATCATAAGCTGATGCCGATTAATCGATACATCACAAATTGATGTATTAATATTAATAATAATAGAATGATATTCATGTATTATTATCACTATATAAAAAAACTAAATATGCTCATTGCACTATTTAATATACTCACAGTATTTTGTAAAAGGATATCCATTTTGTTTGGATGAAGATTTACATCAATTTGGTCTGGTTTTACTTCTATCATAAGAACTGAGAAAGGATATTTTCCTTGGCAACAATTATTGTTGTAAGAAGTTTTTAATAGCTGAAGTAATGAAATAAATATTATTGATTTAAACAAAAAAATCAAACAAAGTTCTATATTGATCAACTTACAGACTTGATTTCTTTTGATCTAACAGGTCTTTTATTTACAATTATAAACATTCTATCTGCAAGAGTTCTACCAACCACATTTGAAGCAGAACCAACTTTAGGTATATAAGCTTTTACTTGTAATTCTTCATCTTTATATTCTATCTCCTTTAGATTATTTAAAACATTAGAACCAAATAATGCAGACAAAACTAATGAACAATTAGCAGCACGATCTTTCCTCCATATTATATTTTTGTCATACTTAAGAGTAATGCGCAGTTTGGGCATCGCTATGCCGTAAGATATTAGTAACTCTTCAATACACTTAACTTCTTCTCTAACTTTACGATTGTTCTCATATAATTTTCTGCGAACAGGCAATGCTTTGAACAAATTTAATACAGTGACTATAGTTCCTACATTATGATGAGTTATTTCAGAACTAATAATTTCACCATACTTTGAAAAACTATATTTTTTTGAAACCTGATCTGCTTTTGTTTTAGTTGTTATAAAAACATCACCAACTGAACATATTGAAAAAAGAGCTTCACCACGAAAACCATATTGCGTTAAGTTAAGCAAATCTAATTCATTTCTAATTTTGCTTGTGTAATGCTGTTTGCAAACATATTGAATATCTTCTAAAGCAATACCAGTACCATTATCTTGCACTTCAATCTTAGATAGACCATTTTCATCCTAAACAAAATTATTGAGAGAGCACACCAACTTTAAAATAAGATAAAATAAAAATGTTTAAAAATAAATTTTTGCTTTTACCAATCTAACATCTATGCTGTCACAGCCAGAATCAAGTGAGTTTTCAACAAGTTCTTTTACAACAGACACCAAACTGATTATAACCTGAGTGCTTGTAATAAGTTCTACTGTAGATAAAGGTAACTTATTCATTACAGCTCTGAAAATTCAAACAATTCTCCAAATTAAAATCTGAAAGTGTACTATTAATTATACTATATATATATATATATATATATATATATATATATATATATATATATATATATATATATATATATATATATATATATATATATATATATATACATATATATATATATATATACATATATATATATATATATATATATATATATATATATATATATATATACATATATATATATATATATATATATATATATATACTTTTATATTTATACATATATATAAATATATATAACAATATAATGTATGTGTGTATATATATGTATATATATATATATATATTTATATATATATATATATATATATATATATATATATATATATATATATATATATATATATACACACACACACACACACACATATATATATATACACACACACACATATATATATACACACACATATCTATATTTATATACACACACATACACACACACACACACACACACACATATATATTATTATAAAAAGGGGCGAATTAAGTGATCGCGAATTGAAAATTCCGTAAAAGTTTCTGGTCTTTAAATTTTGTTTTTCTTGAAAACCATTTTTGCACATTTTTATCAGACCATTTGTAAAAAACTAAAAATTTAAAGACCATAATTTTTTACGGAATTTTTAATTCGCAATCACTTAATTTACCCTTTGTTATTAGTAGTAGAATTTTCATATTTGCCCCCCCCCCCGCCGCTCTTTTTTCGTGTTTGTTTTTTTTCTAAAAAAAAGACACAAAGGACTAAAATTATTTTTGATAACCAACTATGTTCGCATTTTTTATAATTTTCTTGTGTAATTTTGTTTAATAAAACTTAATCAATTGTCATTTTTTTTTTAAAAAAAATTATATTTGACAACTCTCCCACCCCCCTCATAACCCCTTTAATGTGTTTTTGCCCTAAAACAATCCTTAATATACTCCTTTTATATATCTATTATTTATATCCAATATAATTAACTGTTATTATAACTTCAAATAGTTTTGTAATAAACAAAAATTTGTTAAAAATAAATTTTCACCTGGTTTATGCCCCCCCCCCCATCCTTTCTAATAATACCCTTGTCGTATATTTTTTTCTGCCTAAATACGGAACTTTATAAATTATAATTTTTAATTAAAACAAAAAATTTGATAAATACTCAAATATTAAACAAAGAAGCAAAGAGATGATTAGTATAAGTTAACAATATTAAACAAAGAAGCAAAAAAATGATTGGTATAAATTAACAATATTAAACAAAGAAGCAAAGAAATGATTGGTATAAGTTAATAATATTAAAGCACAATGGGAATAAGTACTAAGAAATTCAAAATCTTATTTTTTTAAAATTATAACAACAAAATAATATTTTTAAGGTATAATAAAAAAAGAGATTGTTTAAAGCATATTTTCAAAAATTAAGTTTTTGAATTGCTTGTTTATTTATGTGAGGAAGAACTTTTTGATAGTGTTCTACTGCATGTAAAAAAAATTTATTCAATTGATGTTGCATAGTCTTGAATTAGTTAAACAGCTCGCTCTACTGTATCGTTTACAGATTTCAGTGATTTGATATGCTCAAACATGTGATTAAAATTTGTGTTAGCTTTCCAAAACTTTGGGGATTTTAGCAACCAACCACCGTCCTCATTTGAATATCCAAATAAATTTAGAATATTACTTGATTTTGGTCCAGTCAAACAAGTACTCATCTTCAGAAGAGGAAATTGTGGAAAGCCTATAGCATGTTTACAGTTTTTTTTTGTATTTTTCAGAATTGTTTTAGCAATTTTAGTTTTATCACGATCAGATACCTTATCAGAAAATAATGAAAGAGGGGACATTTCTTCAGTTAAATACTAAAGATGCCGATTAAATGTTTCCAGGGCAGCAGCAGCAACATCATTGTCAATTTTTTTATAAATAAGCATTTCTTTGTAGAATTCCAAGTCATTAGATGGGGCATCGACTGTGCTTGAGCACGTAAGCCATATTTTTACATAAAATAGTAAAGTAAATTTACAAAACTGTGACGACTTCTATAAAACTTTATTCATACTCTACCAGGTCAGCAAAAGCAAACATTTTTGATGTGTGCAAGATTGTACACATCCATCTAGCATGATGGAAGTGTACAATCAATTGCAAATTGATTGTACAAGTAATTGCAAAGCAAGTTGAAAACATTCTTGATAATCACCTCTTAATATTTTTTGAGATTTCCTGTTAAATAAACCAAACAAAAAAATATTACTTCTGCTTGTTTGGTCTTTAATACTGGTTCTTCGATTTTGATTTTTCTAAAAGTAGTATCTGAAGTTAATGAAAGCTTAGACCTTACCTCATTTTTAAAGTATCTAAATGGCTCATAATTTGGAGATCTACGATCTCCAAAAACTTTTAAGTAAACAGAAGACAAAACTCTTTCAAAAATATGGTGTCGGCAAATACTGCCAATACATTGAAACTTTTTTCTTTTATGTTTTCCTTTCTAGATTTCTCTTTTTCAATAGCGTTGATTTTATGTTTCTCTTTTTTCTCCTTTCTTTTCACTTTCATATTTCAAACTTCAAAATTTTTCTAAAATCTTCACTTTTAACAGATAAAACTATACACAAAAATTATTTTTTTAAAATTAATTAAAATTAATTAAAAATTAATAAAACTTCAACTTATACCAAAAAATTAAACTACAGGAAGTCGCAAATGTCATAACTACTGTAAATTTTCACACATTTATGGAATATGCTGACACTATTATAATAAGAATTCTTTAGAAATGATTACTTCTGTTTTGTTTTTTTTTTAAAAAAAAGGGGATTTAATGTAATTATTATTCGAGCTCACTTGTTTTTATAGTTTTTTAGGAGAAACTTATTTTCTGTCTGCATTTAGAAATTAATTCCAATTTTTTTTTTAATAAACATTCTTGGTTTGCATGTGTAATAATTTGAAATTTTTCTTGTTATTCTTATATTTCTAGTTCTATTTTCACTTTTTTGTACGCTTTTTTTCAGGGTCAAATTTTAGTTCAAATTTTTCAAAACCACTACTTTTAAGGGCGTCTTCAAATATTTGTTTAGAGGAATTGAATATGTTTTCATTAGAGGAGCTTTGGTTTAGCCTGTTATTAATTGAAATCAGAAACACACAAACACATATATATACACTTACATACACATACACACACATATATAGACATATAAATATATACAAACATACACATACAGACATACACATCCATGCATACATATACACATACATACATATACACACACCACTTATTCACATGCGCTTATCACACTTAAACACAAATATATATCTTTGGATTTATTAACTGTATTTGATCAGGAATTGAATGGAGAGCTTTTAGGTCATAGGGAAGGTTACTCCAAGATTTTATACTTTGGTTTTTTATGGACTTATATCCATAAGTAACAGTGTTTTAAGACTGCAAGATTCAGATTATCAATTGATCGAAGATAGTAACAGTTATTTGCATTTTTTGGGAAGAAATTGTTGAAGGTCAGAGGTAGTGGTAAATACGTGACCTTTTTCAATTCTTGGCAATTCAAGAAAAGAACAAGGTCACATAGTTTAAGGATCTTAGAAGTAAGATAAAGAACATTAGAATTGATTTTGTAATTCTGAAAATGTATTACTTTTAAAGCTTTATTTTGTAGAGGGGATATTCTTAAAACTGCTTGCTGTTGAGATTGTCCCCTTATTTGACAAGCATATCATATATGTGAGCCAAAAATGGCATGATATATATTTAATAGTGTTTCCAAATTGACATAATGGCGAACTTTTGCCAGCATTCTATTTGATCTGCTCAATTTAATGGCTAAGTCTTTAAGATGGGACACAAATGATAAGTTGGAATCAATTATAATTCCAAGATATTTGATTGAGTTTACCGGAATGATTTTCTGGCCACTTAATCTAAAGTTTAAATTTTTATTGATTTTTGTTTTATTAGATTTGAATATGGCAAGATCATGATTAATGTATTTGTTAATTTTTTTAAAGATTTGTTGATAAGCAAAGTGATAAGGAGTTGCAAACTTTATTGAGTTATTTAGGTCATTAATATAAAGAAGAAAAAGTAGTGGTCCTAATACTGAGCCTTGAGGGACACCGTTGGAACAATTTATTTGAGTAGATTTTGAGTCATTGACTGAGACAAACTGAGATCTGTTGTGAAGATAGGAAGAAAACCATTTAAGAGGTATTTCTCTGATTCCATAATATTCTAATTTCTTGAGTAGGATAGAATGATCTACTATATCAAAAGCTTTTTGTAGATCTACAAAGACACCACATGCAAAGTTTTTATTGTCAAGAGTTTTTCTAATAGACTCAGTAATTTTAATAATTGAGTGAGTTGTGAAATGATTAGCACGAAACCCATACTGGTGTTTGTAAAGGCATTTAAATTTATTCAAAAATGCATAGAGCCTCTTATGCATAGCTTTTTCAAAGAGTTTGCTTAGGTTTGAAAGAAGAGACATAGGACGGTAGTTACACATCCATTGTAGAACTTTTTTTAAATATCAGAATGACTTTAGCAACTTTAAAAGCATCTGGAAATAAACTGTTTTGAAATGAGTTATTTAAAATAATACTGAGAAGTTTAGAAACTATGTCTGGAATAAGTTTAAGAAGAAATGTAGGAAGGCTATTAGGACCAAAGCTTTTTCCAGTTCTAAGGGTGGTTTGAATAAGATTGGAGATCCCAATATCTGTGACAGGATCAATAAAGAACAATTTAGAATTTGGAGAATTGATATAGTCAGTAAATTTGGATGTTGAAGGTATGATTTTTTTTTGAAGTTTGTTTTGGATAGTAACAAAAAAGTTGTTTAACATATTCGATACAGTAGTTTGATCTGTGATAATATTTTCTTTCAATTTCAGTTTGAGAGTTGAACTATAGGAGGAAGGTTTTATATTAATGATTTCTTTTATCCCTTTCCAAGTATTCTTAATATTGTTTAAGTTGTTACTAAAATAGGATTTTT